AAGCCACAAAGCTGATTAAGAGCCGTTCCCAGTATGGCTGGTAAACCCCTTGTAGTACCTCCCTTTGACTTATTTAGCCTTCTTCGCCAACAATTCTTGTTGTGCGCTTTATTTCGTCCATATCACACATCCCATTTTCTGAACCGCTGCTTTCAGCACTCGATCTCTACAACTTCACAAGCATTCGTCATCACATTTACCACACCCACCTCGCCCCGCAAAAAAGAGCACAAAAATAATAAAGATAGATCAGTTGACATAGTTTCGACAAAAAAATATTAACAACCTTAAAATTCAACAGTTTGGCAAGAGAGAATGGCATTTTACAAATAAACTGCATAACGCTCATTTATTGCAATTACTCCAGACAACGAACTAAAAATAGACCAAAACATAAACCTACTTCTGAATTTTTGTATAAAATACCTTTAACTGAAGTTAATAGGTTCTGAACATATACATTAATATTTTTTTACATACATCAGTAAGATAATTATTATTAAATGTTATTGAATTTGACAATTTAGGTTTTATATAAAATTAAAGTTAAAATAAAATACAGTTTATTTACAAACCAAATTTAGAAACAGTTACACTGAATAACATTAAATTTTTTGTCAAAGTACGTGTCCGTTATGTCCACCATTTTCTCCAATGCATTTATCAATACATTCCATAAAAGATTGTCTCATAATAAAAAGCATAAGTGGTTCAAAATAAACTTCTGCAGTATTTATTTCTTTAGTTGCGAATGTTTATGGGATACTTTTAGAACGCTTTTTCATTGCGTTCTATATAACATAATCTAGGGGATTAAAATCTGGGCTACCTGGTGACGGAGGAAAAAGACCTATCCAGCGAAGAGGGGGGGGGACAGAAAACATAGATGTATCAAGAATCTGTACGTATTATAAATACTAATTTTAGTAGTAAAAAATATTAGAATTATTATTTATTTATTTAGCGTATAGCTACATCACAGGTTCATATATATACATATAATATAAATTATATAAATTACAAACAACAGTAAATATAAAAATATTATTCTACAAACAAATATCTAGATTATAAATATATTCGATTGACTCTTTTGTAGCAGCCAGGAAATCTGAAGGGTTGCCGTTATAGGATCTAATCGGGCATTCCTCTACCATGTGTTTTACTGTTTGCCTTTACCTTTTACTTTTAATTTTACTTTATAATTATTATTAAATAAAAATTAAATATTAGTATAAACGGGAAATATGTTAATTTTGGAATGTACATATATTCCAAAAAGGGAAAGCAGAAAAAACCGATGTTTTGCGTAATTTTTAAATATTGTAATTTTTTTATTAATATTCCCGACTTATTTGAGAAGGAAAATAAGTTTATTATTAATACTAAAGTAATCAACTTACTATTTCTGCAGAAATCCGAATGCCACCTCTCACATCCCCGTCCAAACAGATCCTTCCTGGTCTAACACTATGCTTACTTTATCTAAGTTTATTATTTAATCAATATTAAATCAGTTAAAACTAAAACACTCTCAGTTAGTAATCAAGCAGTGGTATGGTAGCAAACCATATGGTAACTTGTAACAAAATTATAACAAAATTTTTATTTTGCTCCACTTTGGGCGCTAGTGTAACAAATAGTAGCTAGATCACTTGGGACCAGGCCCCTGATGTTATAAGATCTGTAGAGTAGTGTGGAGATAAGTTCGAAACTAAATTAAAATAGAAGTTGAAACTGAATGCAGTTCGGCTAGCTGGGTATGCTTGAGACTGGCCAGTTGATACTCAAGGTAGGGTTAGGCCTATTTGCATGCCCTGCGAAAACAGTAAAGAATAGAAAAGATGTAAATTAACTAAGAAAATATAAGAATAACTAAAATGAACTAAGAGTAAGTACTGAAAACCGGAATAAAGGAAAGAAGAATGATTTGGCCGCCAGGGAAGATGTTTACTGGACTCTTAGTCTAACAAACACTTCACCGTGTAACTTTATTGCTGCTGCTGACTATGTTTCTATAATTAGATATAACCTTATTAAATAAAAAGAAGGTTTAATAAAACAGAGTCTTACTTAAAACCCAATTTAATAACAATAAAATAGAAACCTGTAAACCTCGTAATATACAATTTAACTTAAATACCCTTATAATATACACTATTATTGACCCCTTTTATATATGTACAATATATTTACATTTAATAATTTACTAGAAAAGTATCAACTTATTTTATGAAGTTTTATTTATGAATTAAAGCAAAACTTAATGACAACCAACATTTGAAAATTTAAACAACTATAACCCCTCCCTATAACACAATATATCAGTTTGACAGTTTCCAAATTGATTCCAATTAGATAATCTGTAGATATATTTAAATTGGTCTGTCCAGAAAGGAACAGATACAAGATGAATTGGCGATATTACAAGTAGGGCTGTAGAAATACAAAATGGACCTTTGTGCACAAATGATCTTACAAAAAACAATTGTATTATGATCCACATATATAATATATTTAAAAGATTTAATGATAAAATAAACAAATGATATTGATAAACAAAATTGAACGTTATATAACTAATGATACGAAAATATGAGTTAAGAAAATTGACTAGAGAGATAAAAGTTTAGATTAATAGTTTATTAGAGATTAAATTAAAAGCTTAAAAGACTGATTAAAGTTTAAACAAAATTTAAGGAAATTATTTTAAAATAGTAGGAACAATTATTATAAAGGAACCTGACTAATCTCAAACTGAGAAAGTTCTTCTTCCGGATGCTTACGTCACTGGGACTTGTAAGGTTGAAACCTAGAAGTACACTCTTCTAGTAGTTAACTGAACTGCTACTCCAGTAACCGGGAAAAACCAAAAAAAAACTCCAACCAAACTACATGGACTCCATTACCCCAAATTCAAAATAATCCTGATTTGACTTTATAATCCTTCTTTCCTCCAGCGACTAAAAATAAAATCAAAGAAAGCTCTCATTAGCTTTATTCTGAGTTGATAAACAAAAAGGCGATTAGGACAAAAAAACTAGCCGAATGATGATAATTAGTGAAGGTTCGTACACTTTTTGTGACCTTGGAAAATTAATTGAAAACTACGTATTTATAAAAAAAATGTTGGGATTTAACTATGAATATTTCAAAGAAGAATTGAAATTTAATATATCTTAACGAATATATTATAGGCACAGAGTAATGAAGGGTCTCCTTACATTACCGAATTGCTTGGATATTGATGAGAACGTGTACTTAGGAGAATTTCGAACAGAAAGAATTCTGAACGTGATTTGACTGATATAATTAGGGAAAATTAATTGGATAAATGATATAAATATGAAACTAGTAATGGTTAAAAAAAATCATTTACTTTAATTAAAATGAAGCTCACCCAACGCAACACTATTTCACTAATTAAAACAAAATTTTCTTATCCGAAAACTTCTAAATTCCAAACAAAACGCCTTCTGTAACTTAAATAATTGACCTCTGAATAACTTAAAAGGTTTTTCGGCTAACTTGAAAACCACGTGCGTTGGCCGCTGGATTCAATCAGTGGTCTGTCCCGTTCAAAGGCTGGATATAAAGTGCCTTCTTACACTTTTAAAATCGTTGGCTTCCGTCAGCTCCAAGGTCAATGGAAACGGCAGGTAGGCAGTTTCGCCAATTGACAAACAATTGATAACCCCATTACATGTATAGTTGATTGCATACCTTACAGGCAGAATTACGTTATTTTAAATTTTCAGTAACGATAAAGAACTCTTATCAATAGTAATAATAGAAGCAAAGAAAGAAGAATTCTCCAATTTTTTTTATACTGGCAACCTTGATAATAAAACCTAAACAAGCTTACTCACGAAAGCCTAGGAAGGCAGTTTTTATGTAACCTAAAAGACAAAATTACACATTTTTAGATGTAACTTTCGCTATTAGTTTTTAAAACTAAGTTATTAGTTTTAAGATAAAAAGAATATTTATGAATATTTTCAGTATAATCAACGAATTTGATCTGATAATTTTAAATAATCTATTTGCATGAAAGGTACTTTAGTATGCATTGATTAATTATCTAAAGTGAAAAGGCAGACCCGAGGGAATAATTTTGTCCATTCCATTCCGTTCCTTTTAAAATTAATTTAATCAAGCTCACAGTTGCGGAAGTTACAGAGGACATTGGTTATAATACATTAATTTACTATCCACCTGGCCGTAACAATGCTGGAGTTATACAATGCTTCACATTCCTCTATTTGTTTTGACTTTCTATCGAAAGACAGTAGTCGAGGAAATAATGCATTGCATTCTGTTAGCTTAAATATCCATTTTCATCGCAGTGATCAAATAATCATTTGTTTAATTAAAGCAAGAAAATTGGTTTCGTGTATGGGTTCACTTATTGCACTATTTGGTTAATGTTAATAAAGGACTAGAGACTAGACTTTTCCAGTGTACATAATTTAAGACAAACTTGAATAACTCCCTTTAATTCATCCTAGTAACTGGCATTAATGTGGTACATACATGTTTGAGATATAATATTATAATTTAAAAATTGTGCGATTTATTTAGTGAATTCTGCAATTCGTACAGGGTATTTAAGAAACAAGGTCTTTAAGAAACTAAAAATGTTATCAATGCCTTAAAAACTTTATTTAACAAACATTTGTTTAAAGGGAAAATTCCATCGTATTTCTTAAATGTTTAAATATTGTTATAATACACAAAAAAAACTTTACCTACATTCGAAACTATAGAACTGTATGCTTGACTTCTGTATGTCATATATTACATTTCATTTAAATTCGAATTCCACCATTGTTCTACACCTGTTTCGAGTTATATCAACTCTCATCAGGAACACTTGTGGAAGTTCAAACTGAAATAAAATGCAGTCTAGTATTTAGCCGATATATTAAAAATTATATACCTGGTACGATAGCAGCGACTTAACATGTTCGAGCAGTTGTTTAGTTAATTTTTTACTTGGTCTAATACAATGGTCTACATACAATTTTTATATTTCGATCTTTAGTCTGCGAGTGTATTTCATTTATCATTTCTATAAGAGATGGAATATGTAGGGTATAGTGTTTAGCAATGCTTAATGTATCACTACTACCGTGAATATTCTCTAACAGATCAGTGAATTGTTGACTATCGAGTGGGAACTTGGGATTGTAATTGTTGGTAAAATTGGTTATCTTTTGGAGCAATTCTTGAAATTCTAATGAAGGTTTGTCTTTCGACTTCAACTTTTTCTTTGGAACTTTTGGAAAAGGTGTTGGAAAGTAAGATTTTGATTCTGAGGAATTAGTAATATCTGGTGTATCTTCTGAAATAGGTGTTGCAATTTCAGATAAATTTTGTTCGGAGGTAGTAACTATAGTTATATTATAAACATAAATTAAATACCTCATATATTTTAATTTAAATCTATATTTAAGCAAAATAGAAATAGAGAGGATATTAATATTTATGAATAGTGAAAGGATTAGAGCAAGAACAATGGATGAATTAAGTGTTTTAAATGATTAACTTTGAATTGGTACCTTTCGGTACTTCTCATGTTGCCAGCTACGATTTAATTAGACGCTATGATGACCGTTGTTAATTGCACAGTAATACGAGACGATGTGTGATGAATACTTGAAAATTCCGACGAAAACGTGATAATTCATTGTTGAGACACTTCACTCACGGTTGTATAGCACTACTATTTTTCAAATTTTTCGAATGCGCACTTTATTTTGATTTAAAGCGATAAATCACAAAAAAAACTTTTAAATAAGTTCTATTGGTTCGACGATAACTAAGTTTAGTTTTTCAAATACGACACGAAAACTATTAACTTATATCCGGCTCGAAGGATCATGAATTGACCCGATACACCCGATCACGATAAGTTTACCGTGAGATATAGTTGCGATAAAATAATATTTTATAGCAACTATACCACACAGTAAACTAGTCGTGGGCCAATTCAGTATTTGAAGAACTGATCTTGGTTATTATCGAACATTAGAACTGTTTATTGTTTTATGATTTATGGTTTTAAATCAAAATAAAGTGAAAACTCAAACAAAAGTAGTAGTGCTATACAACCGTTAGTGTAGTGTCCCAAGAATAAATTATCGAATTTTCGTCGGAATTCTCAAGTTTTGTAAACACGTATATAGTAAGCAATAAATAGTTTTATAAAAAGCGTCGTCCTATATTATTTTAATTTTATAAAATAATATTTTATAGCAACTATCTATCATGGTTAACTAATCGAAAGTCAGTTCAGTGTTATTAGTCTTTAAATATTAATAAACTTATATAGGTTTTTAATAAATATTAAAATATTAATTCAAAGAAAAAATTAATTAAAACTAGAAGATACAAATTATTAATAAGTTTAAGCGAAATGTAATAAACTGCTAAGATTAAAATTTTCCTGAAATCTAATACAACTCTTAACAAAATGAACAAAATATTAAAACCTCAATATACATATATTTCAACGTAATTACATTCCTGGTTACAGTTTGATTTGAATTGGGAATAGTTGGACTTTTCCCCGGAGTCCCATTTTGCAGTTCTGATAACTTATTCAAGTGTAACCGAGATGTCTATTGCCACGCTCGTTTTAAAACGGTGTGACCGGTCAAGCGCAGATTCACTTCGCAGAAACTTGAAGTACGTGATTGCCATTAGACGTGAAAATTCTGCATAAACTTAGACAATTGCTTTATCACTTCTGTTTGCTGTTCACTAATGTATTTGAGATCGCTTCAAGACTTTTTTAACTTACTTTTTTATCTTTTTTTTTTGTTTAATATTGTTCATACGTGACTAAGCCACAATTGATTTTAAGGAAAATTTAAATGTTAACTACAGTCATTCGGGGCAACTTTGATCCACAGGGTCTAACTTTGCTCCATTTACTTTTTTTTATATTAGTGTACGGAATAAATAGTATAATTGCTGTTAAAACTGTTTAATTTCTGGCTTAATAAAGGCGTCTGATATGTTGGATTGTGTCAACCTTAAGTTTGTATATGGTCCCTAAAGTGCTATGTTATAAACAATAATAATTCAAAATTATTACTTATACCGATTCTGTCAAAAATGTAAGTAAGCAGGGTATTTTAAATATTTTATTAGTGATTTAGGATCACTTTCAGTACATCAGAGTTTCAAGTTTCATTAAAATAACCCGGAATTGCAGCCAAATTAGATTTCAAGCTAACTTTGCACCACATTGAAACTGGTTCAAAATTACCCTGACGATTTAAAGTTGCGGGAAAATTTATTTATTGAATTTAATTTTGTAGGTACTTTTGTATTTCAGGATTTCTCGAAATGCCGAGAAAACAGATACACAGTCTACATACTGGGGACCGATGGCATCGAACTAACAGCCGATATACAGAGCAACACCTACAAACAATACTAGTACTACAGTACTAGAACAGGTACTGGTAGTACTGCAGTACTAGAACAGGTTAAAAGTGGAATTCTGAGTAAAAGGCAGGCCTCAAAACAATACAATACGCCGTGTATTACAATTAGAAAGAAATTATAACCAAATCATTCGAAAAACGTAGAAAGACCTACAGTATTTTCTCAAGCAGAAGAAAAGTCGATAGCCAAGCATGTTATTTGTTTAAGTGATAATGGAATGCCAATATCTTTGTTTGATGTGAGATGCATTGCACAAAGTTACCTTAATTATCAAGAAAGAACAGTATTACCGTTTTAAGAAAATTTACCAAACTGAAATTGGAGCCAGTTATTTTTGGAGAGAAACCGCACAGAACTTGCTCAACCGTTTCAAAGGAATATTTCGAGAAGGAGGGCTCAAGTAAATAAAGAAATAATAAATAAGTTTTTTATAACTTGGAGATAGAAATTTCTGACGTTGCACCCAACAATATTTACAATTACGATGAAACAGGGTTCCATGACGTTCCAACAAAAAGAAAACTTATATTCAGAAGAGGGTGCAGGAATCCGGAGAGAATCATAAATTCAACGAAATCTTGTTTTACCACTTTGTGTTTTGCAAATGCAAATGCAAAAGTATTTTGCCAGTTTTAAAACATATTGGCGCCAAATGTTAACCCAGTGGAGAGCGATCAAGAAAGGAAGAAAAACAGTAGTTATGTACTCAGTAACTCAGTATTTTGCCAACTTCTTAAAGCAACCTAGACCTCGGAGAGGACACTTTAGCTCGTAATTTTAAAAAGGGATTTAAGACTTCATGAATTTATCCCACTATCAGACACGAGGCTACAACTTCCGATGTATGCTCGACCAATGGGTGAAATAAATAAAGGTATTGGAAAAAAGTTAAATTATACGTAGAAAAGTTTCGTCACAATGATTTGAAAAACGTTACGAGGGGAAAAATTTTGTCTTCCAATAACTGCTGGCAAATGTGTTACAGTAGAAGAAGTATACCAGTATTATCAAAACAGGAATTCAACTACTAGCAATACTAGAAAATCTAGACCAAGAGGTGAACCGAACTCACAAGATATGATAAAACCACGAGGTGGACTAAAAACACGATATAGACCAAAACCACGAGATGGACCAAAAATACAAGGTGGACCAAAAACACAAGGAGTCATAGATCTTAAGAATCCATTACGACCAACAGAACTGTTGAAGAAGCAGAATACATACCTTCAGTTGAGGACAATGTGTAAGAAAATTAAGATGTTGATGAGGTAAATCAATAACAGATGCTGGATTATGGAGAGCTGCACGGTCAGCAAATTTTGGAAGAAACCAATATGACTAAAATTATAGTTGAGGACACAATTGGTTACAATTTCGACATTAACAATATGTTAGTAGATATTGTACTAGCAGAAAGGAGAGAACAGGATCAAATTGTCAGTAATGAAGATGAACACATAGTAAGTAAAATGAGGGAAAATAAAGTTAAAAATTGCAGTGAAGTAAACAAGGAACGCAAGACAAAATAGAACAAACTAAAAAATCAGCAGAAAAATACTTTGCATTCACCTCAATCATTTTCCTTGGATAAAATTCAAAGCAAGAAGGATCTGGCAGAAGCTATTAATTTTCAAATACTATGGTGTTATCTGCATGACTGATGTTGTTTGGCCGGTAGCCATTTAGTAGAATAAAAAAAGAGGTTAGATCTTTGTAAATGGGTATGTTTAAAAACCCTTAAAAGGGGTACATCAATTACACAAATGTTTTCGGAATAAAAATTCCATCATTAGGTTTAAATTGCCTAAAATAAATATAAACCATTTAATTAAAGCAAACGTGGTTTAAAATTTTGACGACAAAGGTTAAAAAAGAGCAAAAATGGTTATACTTACAAATTGACATGAATGAACCACCAAAATATCAGCCTTGATATTATTTCAATTTGATTTCAGGTAACATACACCCATGTTTTAGGCGAGTTCCAGTGGCTGGAGAGTAAACCTCTTCAAACGGGCTCTAGCTGGTAACTGATTGACAAGATACTTATAAACGGTATCGAAAACAAAATGTCAATGCACCATGAAACAATGTTAATTATACATAGTATTACTACAGCCAAAAGATTCAAAAACTTTTATGATGTTAAAAAAATAACAGCAATCCAGGTGTTGGGATTTTAAAAAAAATTAATTATTTAATTTTGAATATAAATTATTTGAAATTACCTATGGTATTCAAGGTCCTGTTTAAGAAAATGACGTGTGCATTAGTCAACCTATGTTACTCTTTGTCGTGTGGAGTGTGGTCTAAAAAGTGTAATTTGATAAGTGATAAATTAGCTAAGATTTAAGAAAATTGTCCTTTTATGCTCATCATATCTAAGACAGAGTAAAATTGAATGTTATATATTTGTAGCTAATGTAAGACCTCGTGTTTAAATGAAATTGTTTAAGACTACTCGTATGGTGAAAAAATTAATATAAGTAAGTCTAATGAATTGAAAAGAGAAGGGTTATAAATCTTCTGGCTGAAGAATTAACGTGATAAATTATGGAATTAAACTTAAAATTGAAAAGGCTGAGTTTCTCAGAGACTTGATAAGAATCAAAGTAAAGAAAATGACTGAATTAGAAGGTGGGGGGAGGGGTTTAAAGAAAGTAAATGAGTTAATCAACAATTAGAGGTAATAGTGGTCCTTCATGCTAAAAGCATCTAACACCCTGAACAAAATCTATTTTGTTGTGTTAAATTTGGTTGATAAATACTCACGCACTCCACATACTCACTCCACATATGATTTTCAAATAGTCAGTGTGTTCACCTTCAACTCTGAGATTTGCGGTCTGATTCCAGTAAAGATTTCTAATTATGTTCAGATCTTGGTTGCTAACTCCTATTTCAGTTAGTATTTGCATCATCTTGGCGGGC